CAGGGACAAGGGGAAGAAATGAGAATCAAGACCTATCATGTAAAGGTACAGAATCCCAATGAGGAATGTAACTGTATTGTATACCTAGATTGTACCAATAAACTCAATAAAAAGAAAAAAGAGACAGGAAGGGTTTAGCTTGACATAGCAGCAAGAGGGATTCCAGTGAGACTTCAGGGAGAGCTTCCCATGAGGCAGCTGTGCATGTGGAATGCGGGTGACCAAGGACGTGGTGGTCCCAGCCCTGCCTGCATTTGCTGGCGCAGGCTCAAGCTCTTTGATCTAAGCTTGCTTCAACTTCCTAGGGAGCCGGTAAAGATATTTTCCACCCTTGTTGTACATCATCCCTGCCATCTCCTCCACTGTGGAAAGTTAGCCCTGATCACTTTTCTTTGAAACACTTCGAAGCATTTCATAGATGGTTCATCACCGTGGGCCGGAATGGAGTTTTGTGCAGGAAGAAAACTGAGCTGGTGCAGAGGACCTGTAAAGCGTGCAAGGTCTACCAGTGATGCAGAGACTGAGCAGGTGGGGACCCTGCACAGGCCAGGGATTGCTGTCTGTCCAAGATCATATGGGTCTCGAAACCAAACAAACAGGGAAAACTTGTTTTCCTCTGGAGGAACAGAGAAACAGAGAGAGAGAGAGAGAGAGAGAGAGAGAGAGAGAGAGGGAGAGAGAGGGAGAGACAGACACAGACAGAGACACAGAGACAAGGAAAGAGACAGAAATATAGAGGCATAGAGTGACACAGAGGGAGAGATAGAGACATTGACACACACATGCAGAGAGAGAGTCAAATCAACAGCAGCTTTGCCTGAACTTTAGAGCCTCTGAAAGCCTCAGAGCTGTTAGCTGCGTCTTGTAATAACTCTGATCTTTGTGCTAAAATGGAATGCTAATCAGCCTAGCTTTGCCCGCCTTCCTTTGTTACCTGGTTGCTAAGTGATAGCTAAATATTAGCTAGCTGATCATAGGTGAGTGGAAATTTCTACCCCATGCTTTTGTTTGTCGTGATGAAAAATAATTCAGGGTATTTGAGGAAAAGAAATCCTCTTCTAGGTCTTTGGCTCTTGAATTGTTTGTACAAATTCTCCTTTCTAGCCTGTCAAATCCAGAGACCAGAAGAGGCAAGAAACAGATGGTTTTATGAGGTCCTAATGTGCTCTTCTTCTTGGCTTTTTTCGAATGTCTGCCATGTTCAGGGCTAAATGTCTGACAATGCAAAAAGCCTGAGACAAACGGTAGGCTTCCCATATTCCGTAACTTTGCTAACCTCAGCTTGCTCACCCACAAGATGGGGTGAATGATGGAATTTAGCACTTGGCTTGTTGTGACCAGCAAACACTGGACACTATTACTGCTCTCACCACCGTCACTGCCGTGTGCCAGTCTCTCTGTGTCAGCGGGTGGCCATTCCAGAGGAAGTGCATATTTATCTTCCTATTTCAAATTCTGCCTGCAATACAAGTGTTCAGTTAGGATGAAAACTATGGTGTGATGAAGGCCACTGAGTCTGAAAGCTTTCTCTGGTAGTTACGCCCAAGTGTGCTGCCTCGGGTCACAAAAGTGGGCCAAGAAGCCTTGTAACTGACACATAGAATTAGAAAGTGCAGGTGGAGTGGTGGGTAGATTTGTTCTTGAGCTCTGGTATCCTTGAAGTCACAAAGATAATTTGGAGTATCTTTGTCTCAACTTTAAAGCAGCTCATTACTTCACTGGAACTGCATGTGGTGGATTTCTTTTCTTTTCTTTTTTTTTTTTTTTTTTGAGACAGGGTCCTGCTAAGTTCCCCAGGTCAACTACAACTGTCCTATCCTCTTCGGTTTCCTAGCTGGGGCTGCAGGTGTATGAGGCTCCCACTGGATTTTGAATGAATTCATCAGTAACCTTCTGCTTACATTGTTATATGATAAATGATACAAAGAGGCAGCCACTTATGCGTGGTCAAATTACCTCCTAGATGTTAGGCTATAGATCCTGGTGTGTCACTAGAGAGGTCACAGGCTACACCTGGTTACAAATGTAATCAATCTTCAACCTCTATTATCAGGGCTAGACCAGGCTTGAGGGAAAAAGATGGAGATTTCATCTCTAGTCCTTTTACTTTCTTCATAGTTTCTTTTGTTTATATTTTCTTTCTTTTTTTTTTAACCCCGGGATTTGTATTTATGGCCAAACACCTCGACTATGCATGGGACAGGGGACAGAGGAAACAATGTCCGTTTCATTGTGTGCACTTTTATTTCATCCCATCTTTTGTTTGTGGATCAGATAGGCAGATCCTTAAGCTATGTTTTTCCTGATGTTTAAAACTTTAAATCTTGCACTGGCAAAGACATAGTGCACCTTACTGATCTTTCTTAGGATGCTCCTGATGACATGGGAATCTTATTCCTCTTTATTGGCCAAGGAAACTCCTGGATCAAAAAGCTCACTCACAGGAAAGCATGAGTCTTTTTCTATCTCGTTACCACTTTGGCTGTTATCAAAGATAACCAGAGACTGCTTTGTTTCTACCTTTTTCCTTCGGTGTCCACTTCTAACTGAACACTTTGATGTGTATTATTGTTTTTGGTGGTGCTAGAGATGAAGACCAGGGCCTCCTAAAGGACAGACAAGTGCTCCACAACTGAGCTATGCCTCCAGCCCCAAAATGCCTCTCTTTAGGATCTTCCTTTCAGGTACTCAGAGAGAGGAAGTAACGGGACCAGTTATTCACCATCCTCACCACCAACACCATTGGGCAACTGGTTTATCTTCTGGGCTTGTTGGCAACCTATGGATGGCTATTCTTGGCTTGACCCTCTTTCATCTAATCAGCTGTTCATTGAGTGCATGTATGAGGGGAGTGGAAAGACCCTGGAATTTGGAAAGAGATGAATAGCATTCAATGGATCCATGTACGCTCTCACTCAGGGATTTCTCTTAAATTGTCAAATGGAAGGAGCCAGAGCACGGCAGGAATGGTTGTGCAACATTTTCCAAGAAAGCGTTTCTAAAACTGTCTAAACCTTCTTGCCCTGTGGCCTAGCAACTCAGGTATTTGCCCAAGGGAAAGGAAAACACATTGCAGCCAAGACCAGAGTAACTTTATTTTTGATAAAATGAGAAACAGCCCAGGTATTGATCAAAATAAGCATACATAGCAACTTTGACATAATTATAAAATAAAATGCTGTCAGCAGCAAAAGCAAATGCACTCTGTTGACAGACAGCACCTTGCCTCTCAAAGACATTATGCTTAGTGAAAGAAGCCTTATCCCAAAGAGCATGCGCTTCCTAACTGCATTTGCATGAAGTCCAGGGAGAGGCAAAGCTAAGAGCTGGGTAAATAAATAGAATGTGTGAGGCCCTGGATTAAACCCCCAAGTAATTGAAAAGAAGAAAAAAAAAAGTAGTCTCTGGAGGCAGGGCTGGAGCGGAAAGACATTACTATTTTTGAGGTGACGGTAATTTCACATACTGAAAGAGTTTTTCTTGCGGGGAGCGGTTATACGGGTGTGTGCATTTATGAAAGCTTAGCAAATGTGCACTTAAAACTGATGTGTTTCATTGCATGTAATTTTATCTCAGGAGAAAAACCATGTAAACAAATCTTGAACCCTAGCTAATGATACGGACCCTGATGCACTTAGGAGTCAGTGCACATCCAGCTATGCTGTAATTTAATTTGAAATGCATCATGAAAAATAATATGGGGTGGATGGATGAAGACAGGCTTAGAGAGTTGATGGGTAAAAGAGGGAGCAAGGAGAGTAAAATGTGAAGCCAGGCCCCGAGATTTGTGCCAGCTACTCTTTCTTTTTCTAAAAAAAAAATAAAGAAAAGAAATGCTGATAGTAGAGAGTTATTGGTGGGAACCTGGATATTCACTAAAAATTCTTACAGCCGGGCGTGGTGGTGCATGCCTGTAATCTCAGCACTTGGGAGGCTGAGGCAGGAGGATCGCTGTGAGTTCGAGACCAGCCTGAGCTATGTAGTGAGTTCCAGGTCAGTCTCAACTATGTAGTGAGACCTGTCTTAAAAAAAAAAAGGAAAAAGAAAAAAATTCTTACACACTCCCTGTGTGTGTGCCAATTTAAAAGGATGTTGGGGAAATGTCAACTGAGGTATAGAAGGCCATTCAGTTAATTTGTGTGCTAAATGTGAGGGCATTTCAACAACAGTAACAAAATGCCACACGTAAAGCACTGTGCTGTGTAGTCAGGAAACAGAATAAAGATCTTAGCTCAGAGAGCTCATAATATTTTACAAAACAGACACCAAAATGGCACCTCACAGCCACAAACCTGTCAATAGTTTTCGGGAATAGTTTAATTTCAACTGCTTTGTTTGTAAATGTAAGTGATTGATTATGGAAATAACTTTATGGTATTTTTGACTGCTTAACTTTGTAAGTCTTCCATATACACAAATTCACAAGTCAAGAGAAAAAAAAACTTTAGTCTGTCAAATGCTGTCTTCCGATTTTGGTGAGGGCAACATTTTTGCTGGAACTGCCTCTCTGTTGGTTCTCTGAGCTTGTTGACATAACATTTAACATTTACTTAAAAGGGAAAAAGGCACTCAGAATACATGGAAAAATCAATGAAAGTCCGAGGAAAAACCATGGTTAATGTTTAACATTCATGTTGGTTAGCGGAGCCTTTTTTAACCCCTCCCCGCCTTCCTCCTTTGGACCTCCCACATCCAGCCCACCCTCAGCTACAGCCTGGGGATGCTTCTGAGGAGTGCCCGCCAGATGGGCTTGCTCAGAAATCTTCTGTGGCTCTCAGATGCGTGAAATCTACTTCCACAGCCTTAGCCTGCGACTCCCGCCTTCCTCAGGCCGGCCCCCACCTGCCTCTTCCTCCGTACTTTCCACTGCATCCTGTGTCTCTGCTTTCCCCGTTCAGCTCTGCCCACCTCACCTGTGTGAGCCGAGCCTCTGATCTAGCTGACCCCGGTCTGTTCATGCGATCTCCAGTTTTCGTTAAAAGCCCACTCTCTGAAGAGCCCTCCCACATATCAGGGGTTGGGCATAACAAAGAGAAATTAATGAAGAAAGAGGAATCTCTGCCACCAGCCCTGGGATTTTCTGTCTCTGATGCCTTATTTATTATTTACGACTACCTCCGCTGTACTGTGAGCACCTACAGGGTAAAGGCTGCTGAGGCAGGAGATTGGGGCTGGGGCAAAGCAGACAAACAACTGGGCGGAATGTGTCAAGGGTCATAAAAACCCATGGCTACACACTGAGCGAGGTGTTTCCTAAAAAGAGAGGACATGCACAGAGCACGGGACCCTAAATGACATCATGCTTAAGGCTCAGCACTGTGGATCAATCAGAAGGATGCTATTTTTAATTCTTCATTTGAATATGAACTATTTATGACCAATCAGAAGGTGCTCTTTTCAGTCCTTCATTTGCATATAGGCACAACCAATCGAAATATAGCTAAGTCAGTTAGAAATATTGTAGGCACTCAGATAGGATGGGCCCTTGAGAGAGAGTTAGTGCAAGAGATGAAAACACATTACAAACATGTCTGAAGGTGCCTCAGGATAAAGATGAAATGACCAGGCCTACATACTTCCCCAAGGGATGAGATAAGGGGTAACAGCTGGTTAAATAAAGTCTAGACAGACACGAGTCACCTCAGTAGATGACCAAGACCCTCAGACCCTTCGCTTTCTTAGAAAGTTCTTCCTTTTCCCCATAATACTTGCTTTGTGACTTGCCTCCCACTGGATCGATATTGCCCAAGCAGCTGTACTTGTAAACTTGCTGGCTGATCATAGTTGGGTCCCACTTTGTGCGCCTACCTCGTGAGTTTGCTCTCTAACACTTCCCCTGTGAAGTGGGGCCCCTTGAGACCCAGTCAGGTCCCCTCCTGTCTCTCCCAGAAGCTATGCTTCTCAATAAACATTTCTACCCTTAACCTCCATGGTTCCTTAGAGTTCAGTCTTCGATTTTGGCGCATCTGACATCTAGCAGGTTGGGAGTTAGACTATTTCCCCTGTATCAATTGCAGGTCCAATATCATTCCTATATCAAAAAGACCCTGTTCTTGGCAGGAAACTAAGGGAGTTTTACTATAAACAGCTCATACCTGGCGTGACACCAAGGGAGTTTTTGAAGGGACAGATGTCTCAATGCCTTATTTGCATGAGGAAGAAGCCAATCCAGGAATTCTGGGTACAAAAGTCCTCTTTCCCCTTATTCTGGGGGTGTGTGTGGGGTGCTTTGATCCTTACCGGGGTCTACTCTTGCCCTTTTCCATTTTCAATAAACCTACTCCTTCCCTGTCTTTTCAGCGTGTCTTGTCCACGTCTTTGTTCGGGACCTCAAGAACCTGGAAAGAATCAAACCCCAGGGAACCCACCGTCCTAAGTCTGGGTCTTACTCATCTTGATCAAGGTAAAGACACTAAAGAGTGCTCTGCACAGACTGAGACTTCAGCAAATGTTTGTTCATTTGAATTTAGTTTGGCAGAAAAAGAATCAATTCTTAAAGTTAGTCCACATCAGGCTAAGTGTGTTATTGTTTATCCACAGGCATTATTCCCTTCTGAATGTAGCACTTTTACAAGAATCCAAAGGTCATGATCAACCTTCAGAAAGACATTTTGTATTTTACCACCAAAACAGTGGTACAGGCCTTACTAGACTTCTATAAGCAGGACTTCATTTCCTGGGAAATCCTGAAGCATCTCACTTTATCTGGAAGGAGAAAGTGAAGGAAAGTATTTGCCTTTGTGGGTTTTCATAGCTCCTGAACATGGCAAATTGCTTAATTCGTTTTTTTGTGTTTTTGTTTGTTTGTTTGTTTGTGTTTTAGCTTTGGGTGGCAATTGATTTTCTTTTACTGCATGTAGAGTGCCATCTTGTGGCCAAGAAGCATACAGCACTCATATTTTCCTGTGCTCTGGGGCTGATTTTGGGGTTTTGACAAGCTTTTGTAACTGTGCTTCTGTAATCCCACGTTTTTCCACACTGAGGATCAAATACAGGGCCTCCTTCATTTTAGGCCAGTGCCCTACCACAGAGTGTTCTATCTCCAGCCCCTATTATTCCTCCTTATTTCTGTAGTCTGGAGAATCTCCGAGTGAAGAAACGAGAGTTATTGGGTGATCATGTATACGGTTTACTGCTAAGCCAACTCCAGTTGGCCTTCATCTCTCGAGGATATACTTATAAGCACTTATGATTACTGTGTTGTGTGCGTTTCCCATCTTCTCTCTTTGCAGTGCCCCGAGAGCTGTCCCCTCTCCCAACACAGTGTTTTGTTTTTGCTTTTGAGAAAGATCCCATGTGAAATTGAGGAAATGGTAGGAGTCGTCTTTGGGAGGCGTGGGATTGAGGGAGCTCAAGACCACTTTAGAAAGGCCCAAGCTCAAGTGGGACTTTTAAAGGAGACTTTCTGCTGGAGTCTGTGACAGCTGTAGGTGAGGGGCGGCAGGACACCGGGGTCAGGCCCTATTGTACAGCTTTGGGGAAAAGGACAGAATAATAAACCTCAAATACAGTGAGAAAAACTTCAGACGATCCAAGCGACCAGACCACAGAAAGAAACTGAAAGACAGGATATTGTGAACTAATTGCTCCCAATATGCACTAAATCTTCTGTGGTGTTGATATCAGAACCCCACAAGCTCTTCTCAGAGTCTTCAGAGAAGTTGATTAGGTTTGGGATGTAGCTGGTTAGATGCATGAATCACTGCAGGTCTCGGAAATCCACTTTGAAAAATGTGATGGATTTTGAAAAATTCACAGTGGTCCTGCTTTACTTTATCAGACAAATCATCTCAGCTTGTCATTGTTCCTCTGACTGGTCATTGATTCATCAGTCAACCAAGTCAACCAACTGTTCCGTCACTGGTTAACTTCTGTAAGGCAACAATTTTTTTTTTTTTTTTTGGTACCGGGGATTGAACTCCAGTCCTTGCCCTTGCAAGGCAGGCCACCGAACCGCTGAGCTAAATCCCCGGCCTGTCACTGGTTAACTTCTTTGACACAGTTAGTGGAATAAGCACTAGATGACAAAGATCAAAAGGTCCCTTTTCTCTACCTTCAGTGATCTCAATGCTCAGTAAGGGTGGAGGCAAGGAGCAGGAATAACATACATGAAGCTATTAGGACATGGCTGGATTTTTAACACAGTTGTACATTCTTCATCTCGTTTTCTCAGCCTGGCTCATGTGTGGGTGGAGTTTTGTGACCCTTGGAGCACATAACTCCATTTTCACCCACCGATGGACCGATAACAGGTTTCAGATTATTCGTGTCCACAAAGCATTGTGGGTATGGTGGAATGGCATGAGAGGTGAAAAGCAACCGTTGGAAGAGTCTTGATTAGCATAGGGTATAAAAGAGGTCCAGTGGCATAATGAGGTCTACAGAGGGAAAACTCAAGGTCCATGTCCATTGCTGTGGGGCAGTAAAATGTTTGAAGGTAGACTATGACAAATTAAAGACATATATCATGATCCCCAGCCCAATACCCCCTGCTTTTAAGGGAGTATCGTTCTCCATGGAACATGAGTCACTTAGAACATGTAACTGTGCTATGAAAAATTAGCTGTAAATGAGTATGTGCTAAGCAAATTGATGGCAGTTTTGTAAAGTTGTTCATGTGAATAATAAATACTATTGATGAGAATTGTTGGAGTGTTTGCATTTTAGGATCCCAGGATATTTTCTTTAGAAGTGACTGCTATACTGTTATTTATTGCTGTCCTCCTTCTTCCACGGGTGATTTGAAGATGTTAAAATTGGAAGTTGGAACTAAAAAAATTCCAAGAATTCAAGGCGTTTTGTTTATTCTGAGTTAAACTTGTTTGATTACACTTGAAATAATTTGAACCTCAGGGTTATGGTTTTATTTTAGGTAGACGGTCTTTTTTGAGAGGTCTCGTTAATTTGCTGCTCCTCAATTCAAGTGATCCTTCTGGCTCTGCCTCTTGAGTAGCTGGGGCTACAGATAAACGAATCGTGTCCAGCTTGTCTTTTATTTTTAACTGTGTCTAACCAAGAGACTTTGTGCTGGACCCATCTACTTGGGAGGCTGAGGCAGAAGGACATAAGTTCAAGTCCGGCCTGGACAGCTTTGAGACCCTGTCTAAAAATGAAGACTGAGAACATAGCTCAGAGGTAGAGTGTTTGCCCTAGCACATGTGAGCCTCCTGAGTTTAGTCCCCGACACTGCACTCAAAGTAAAACAACCTGCTGGGTGGCGGTATATGTATATAAAAAAGATATGTATCACTAGTTCTAGATCAAAGAAGATCAATATCTACTTTAAGCATGTTCCTTTGGAAAAATTCAAATTGTTTTTTTAGAAAACTTAGTGACTTCTGGAGATACAGGGATAGCTCTGGAAAGCTTTCCTTTTGTAAAAAGAAATACACAACTACATATTGGCCATTACTGAACAACGAATGCAGCAGAGATTTTATCCATAATATTCCATCCCTGTTTTCTGACTGGGGAAGGACCTCCCATTGGAAGAAGAAGTTGTGGGTCTGACTTTGGCTCAGATAGAGACAGATGACCACAGGTGTTTTTCCTGGGAGATCTCATTTACAAGAGGAAGTAACCCTTCGATGCTGTGCACCCTTCCCTCTAACCTTCCTTCCACCAGAAGCCTGCGATATTTCTGCCCACCTTGCTTCTGCCAGAAGCCCAAGCCTCCGCCCATTATTTAGCTCTATATAAGGCTCTGCATCTTGCCCCTCCTTGAGACTCAGACTTTGTGTGTAGCATCAGCGCTTATGCATATTAATAAATTGCTATGTTTTTTCTGTTGATCTGTGCATAATCAGTTGATTTCATAGACTAAGCTGTTGAATTTTCAGAGTAAATTTATAATTTCTGTATGTCCCCAACGAATCTTTCCATGGTGGTAGAAATATTCTACCTAGACTTATGCTGTTCAGTTGCTAGCCACTTGCCACGTAAACATAGCTTGAGAATATCAGTGCCAATCTAAAACAAAAAAGTATGTAAAAACAAACTAGGTGGTGCACACCTGTAATCCCAGTACTCAGGAGGCTGAGGCAGGAGGATCACTGCAATCTGAGGCCAGACTGGGCTACAAAGTGAGTTGAAGTTCAGCCTGAACTATAAAGCAAGACCCTGTCACAAACAATCAACAAACAAACTGAACAAGCCTTTCACCAACTTTATAACCAGGACTCTTTTTGAAGGATCTGGGCCACTTTGAAAGCCAAATACTAAAGAGGAAGATAGCAGTCGTACTTCTCCTCTTCAAGAGCACGGAGCTCCATACTGTTAACTTGCTACCTGCCATAGAGATCAAAGAAGTTTTATTGTTTCTCTGGATAAAGGCAATTAGTAGAGTGGAATTGTGTCCAACAAAGGGTACTGGCAAATCCTCTCACATGAGAACAAGTTTACCTTTGTCTGGTGAACACGTGTTGTGCTTGGCTGTATAAAAAGGAGAGAATTTTTCCGGTCTCAGCAATTTCTTTATGGGTTCCAAATGATGTATGTCACATTCTGGCTTAATGCTTATTTAACAGTAAAACCATTTTCTCTCTCTTTTTTACCTTTATGTAAAGGTCTTCTAGGTTGGCAGGGGATTTTGTGTTTCATTATATTTGCTCAACAAAAGCAACCAGCTAACCAATCCACACAGAGAGGTGCAGTTAAAGATCAGTCGAGGACCGAAGGTGGAATCCGAAAATATACATCACAAAAAAGAAAGCACAACAGAAGGAAAGATAAGTGAAAAAGCAGGTGGGACAAAGGGAAAACAAATACCCAAACACGCATCTTAAATTTAACCGTGTGAATACTTGCTGCAAAGCTTTCCATTGGAAGTCAGCGTGTCAGCGTGGATGAGAAACTAAGACCTGCCCATACGCTGTTTATAAGAAATGCACGGTGAGTATACAGCATAGACGAGTGGAGAGTAAAAGGAGCAAAAAGATAAATTACGGAAACACTAAGAAAGCGGGCGTGACTATTTCAATGTTAGGCAAAGTGATTTCCGGACAAAGAAGACAACCAGAGTTAAAGATAAAGAGGTCAACTCTTCAGGAACACGATCATCCTAAATGTGTCTGTATTTAATAACAACACAGGTAAAAAGTTTAAAAATATAAGAAGTAAAGGAAGAATTACTGTATAGGCGGAAGTAAAATAAGGGGTAGCAGATTTTATTTTTTATTTTTTTCTCTCATTGAGTTTGTTGGTACATTCTAGGTATACATACAGTTACATTCATTACTGGGATCTTGTACCTTTACACAACAGGTCTTGGTTCTCATTTTTTCCCCTTGTCCCTGCCCTCCTTTCACCCCCTCCTCCCTTCCCCATTTACAAACACTCTATGTCCATTTTTCGTTTTCTCATTTTTCCCCTTATTCCCTTTCCCCTACCCTTCCCACTTTCCCTACACCTTTAGCCCTTTTCTTTCTATTTCACATTGTCAATTATATCATTAGGCAGCAGATTTTAACAGTCCTCTTTTACCAATTAATAGATACGGCAGAGAAAAAATGAAAACCGAAAAAAGTCACCGGTAATGATGTAGAAGATCTAACTACACTAAAAGAGTAACTAAGAGATTTTTGGTGTGCTACGGACGGAAGATTTAGTTGTCTGAAACTCCCCAGTTTTTAGGTGATGCTGTATGAGCAACATCTTCTGTTGCCCATTTGGGCGCAGTGGGGATTGGAACGCGGCCAGCGGCGGATCGGCTGAAAGAGCTCCCTGTGCACTTAGGGTGGGAGGCTGGGGTCTCCCTGCTGCTGGATGCTCGCTGCGCCCCCGTTGTGAAATCCTCACTGACGTACTGTATGGCCCTGGTGGGGTGGGAGACCAGAGTGTGCCACCCCAGGCAGGATTTTCCAGTATGAGGAACACTTTGGGCTGATTATTTAGAGAAACTGCAGACACAGGCAAGGCTTAGAAGACAGAATCCGTTTTCCTTTTGTCAGGGACATTTATGTAAGGAAAACATGCAGTTTAAAAGGCAGCTCCCTCTGTGTGTGGGGAGAAGATAATCCTAAATCACAATTTGTCAGTCAACAAGGCACTGACTTAAATCTACACGACAAGCCTCGCGTTGCTTACCACACTTTTCCTAATGGCCTTTTTGTAAGTTACCTTCTCTGCCAAGAAGCCAGAACCAACCCTCTTTTTTTTTTCTTTTAGCCCAAGTTGGTAGGCAAATAAACTGAAAGCCTAATTTAAGAGTATGTTTGTTTGTTTTTGACAAATAGCTGAGTCTCAGGCCATCAGAGGCCACCACTTCGTTACACCATGTTCAGGAGAGGCAGATGCTGAGCAGTAACCAAAAGCTGTTTTTGTAGCTCGCTTCTATTTTGTCTTTAAATCTGCCTGTCCACTCTGCAGAGCAGAATTCTCCGAACCTCTTCTGGCACCAGGACCACCCAATTTCTTGAGTTGTTGTTTGGTTAAAGGGTTAAATTGATTTACAGCTTTTCGGCAAACCATGTACACCTGCTTGAAGCACCTCTGCGAGGTGCTCATTCGAGTTTCTCACCTGCATGTGTGAGATACACATTATTAACAGATGTCCTCTCATTAATCTGTGTTTTGTCACTAAGTCCCAGCTGAGCCTGGAAAGGCAAAAGGGTAAACTATGACAAGCAACTACAGCAGCCTCTTAAACACATTTCAGGTCATTGGGTCAGATGAGTGAGCTTTCTCTGGCCAGATGCAATGGGTTCTTGAGCTCCTTAGGAACAAGGCTACCAGGTCAGGCTAACAGAGATACAAGGTACCCAGGTAACTTCTGATTTCATGCAAACAGAAACAGATGGTCCCTAGCTTTGAGGGTTCAACAGTCCCATGGTGTGAAAGCAATATGCATGCACAAGAAACTACTAGGATGCTCCTAGGCTGGGAGTATTCAATGTATTTTTGACTTATGAGATTTTTAATGAATGACTAGTTTATGGGGATGTGACTCTGTCATAAGCCAAGGTGCATCTGTACTTTTTTTTTAACTACTGAATATATGATAAAAAATTATTCATTATAGATCTAAAATTCATATTTAACTGGGTCGTCTTACCCTCCGTGGGAAGAGAAATAATGCCCTTTCATGGTGGCTGGCTGTATGAAGATCTAATTAACTGACAAAGTAAAAGAAACACCTGCCTTTAGGGTACACAATCCCTTAAAAATTGAGATGCATTCCTTGCAAAATAGGATTAGCCAACCAGAAAGGAAGATGGCATCGCTCCAAAGGTAGTTTTTTATTTAAACATACAAATATAATCTCCCAAGGAACAAATGTAAAAACCAGTGCAAGCCACCTTTTCAGAAACAAACACAAATAAACAAACAAATCATTTAGAACACACGAGAAACAGGATAGGGTTTCAAGCTGCCCAAGGAGGAAGCTTAGCTCATGTTTGTTTCCTCTGAGTACACAGGCCGTGTTTACATTTTCACACTGTGGAGACAAGTTCTCATTGCAGGCTTGGCAAAATTTGTCAGACTACAATAAAACAAAACAAAACAAAACAAAACAAAAAAACCCCCAAACCTCACAAAATCACTAAATAGAGCGTAAACAACTCTAGATCATGGAAGAGTGACCTTCGTCTTACCGTGGCTTACGATGTCTAAAAATATTTGCCCTTACATTTATAGTTAGCAAACAGCACTGTGTAAATCCTGTAAAAGGTCTACAAAAGTATAAATTTAATGTTTCAATTCCTTAGCAAATATCTCAAAAATTAAGAAATGAGACAGTATTTAAAACTTATGAACACTTTTGTGGTTGGAAATATTTCTATAACTTACTGTTATCCACATATATTTTGAAACATGACTATTTCTAGGAGTAATAAAGTACAATCTTATTTAAGAGTCAAACAACTTACTTAGCTTTTTAATTTTTTTTTGGTTTTTTGAGACAGGGTCTCGCTATGTAGTTCAGGTTGGCCTTTAACTCATCATGTAGCCCAGGCTGGCCTTGATCTCATGGCGATCCTCCTGCCTCAGCCTCTTGAATGCTGGGATTATAGGTGTGTGCCACCATGCCTGGCTATATAACTTTTTTAAAAAACCAAGGCTAAGGCACTGGGCAAAATCAGGTCAAATATTCAAGGTCTGTATGATATTTACTACTCATATACTAAGTCATGACCAGCTAGTCTAAGCCTTTGAGACATCAAAATAAAAACATGATTTGAATAATTACAGAAATATATAGAGTTTTAATATTTTTGGCAAGGGTACATAATGGTTTGTAAAATTCAGTTTAATTCAACAAATATTTCTTTGGCCCCCATGTGAGTCACTGTGGATATAAGGCAGTGAAATCGGCATCGTTTGTGCACAGGGAAGGATACGGCTGGTTAGTTTAGCTGCACTAAATTGCAAGTATTGAGAATATAACATGAGGTTTTTATCCCCCCATAGAACGTTATTATTATTATAAGTAAAATTACATTTATAAATTTTGTCCTGGATTATTCAATTGAATTAGAAGTATTCAAAATTCTCATGACTACTGAGACAGGAAAACACAATGCCATTTTTAAATGCATATGACATTATGTGCGTGTCACATGCACAGAAACTTGTATGTTTTTGCTGTCCCAGTCTTCAAAATATAATTCACTTCACACAAATGAAAAGAAAACCTACAACAAAACTGGGATCCCAGACTGTCGGGATCTTTGGATAAATGAAATGCTGACAATCTGCTAGGTGCAGTAATGGATAGATCACGTAAACATGAAATGTACACCACTGTGAAATGCACATCAATGTGAAATATTAATAGGGTTTACGAGGAGACCCCATCATTTTCCTGGGTTGCTTTCCTGGACGGTGATGTGTTAACTCAGTAAATTCTAAGAAGCCAGATTTACTCTATTCTGTTTTGTGAAAACTGTTTGCATAACTCACTGAAGGCACTTCGGAAACAGCATCACCACGAGGCCCACTGTGATTCGGGAAGCATTTCTAAAATACATTCCTGGAAGCAGAGATTGTGTGGACCTTTGAGGATCAGCGACAGGGAAAAAAGTGTAAGCTCGATGCATATTTATCTCTGCTTGTCTGTGAGGCTCACGAAGAGCCAGGCAGGTGGAAAATACACCTGCAGCCCCTGTTGGTTAGACTCTGGCCGAGTCTGTGGCTGGCCTCTGCTTAGGTGTAAGAGTGCTGCACAGTACTGTGCTTGGTGACCCTGGTGGAGGACGTGGTTACGGCAGAATTTGAATGGCCAGATCCTTCCAAACCAGAATGTGGCACAGGGCCAGGGACTCCAGCCCCAGAAACCACGGCCTTCCTAGCCTTCCCCGAGGCTTCAGTGGCAATTTGGTAACTGGATTCCAGAGTGGAAGCAGGGGTGAGCACTCTTTCTGTCACTGTCACATTCTGTCCTACGGCCGCCACACTGGGCACCACCAGGGCAGGCTGCACCCCCGAGCTGGGAGCAAGGACACTTTCTCTTTCCCTCACCATAACGTACTGTGCATCCTGCAGATGCTGGGTGCCTCCCCGAGGATGAGGGATGCCCCCGTTAGGCTGGATCACTCTTTCAGTGACCACGACATTACCCTCCCCAGCACTGTGCTGACCCACCAAGGTGGAAGCCGGCGCATACAACCTCTCCGTCACAATAAGGCTCTGGGGCTGTCCAGGACCCAGGACCACAGTGCTTGGTGGCATAGTGGGGCCTGTGGTATAGGACGTTTCCGTCATTATGATATTACCAGAAGCCAGTGGATCAGGAGGAGGTGGCACCACCTTCTGACCCTGCCTGGAAGACACCGATCTCTCGGTGACTATTTCCTGAGTGACCTTCTCTGCTCTGGTTTCCTGCAAGGGTTTGGGAACTTGAAAGCTGCTGCCAGAAGAGGAGGTATTCTCTGAATTAACCATGGTTTGCTCATAGAATGAGTGTGCAGCTGTGGTCAAATCTGTTTCTTTGACAGGTTTTTGCCTCTGCTCAATTTCCACATCCACATCTATTTTTTGACCCAAGCAAACTTCAGCCAGTGTCTTGAATTTAAGTCCCAAATCATCTAAGAAGCGGTCATCTAGTTCTCCTTCAATAAAACTGCAACAGCCAACGGAACCGTGAAGAGATTCTGTTTCTTCCTCGGAGTAAACCAGAAGGCAGTCTTTGGCCATGTGAATGACATCTTCCTCACTGTAGGAGGCTGCCTTCTAAAATGAAGATAAAAAGGGGGCAGATAATTAGTGATAGGGCTCCACATTTCTGTTTAAAATGCAAAAGCTGAGCCCAAATGCAAGGAGACAAATACAAATAGAGACATTGTACATCGTGGCTAGTGTGTATTTTTTAAAAATATTAATATGATAAAAAAAAGGCAGAGGGGCTGGTTTCAGATTAAAGAAGATTAAGTGTCATGACACCTACATGGAATTTATGCATAGGATCCTGGATGGAAAAACAACTGCTATAAATAAGACGTTCTGCAATAATGGACTAAAGTGAGATGTAGATTGTATCAATTTTAAGTTTCTGGATTTGTTCACTGTACTATA